CCCCCCCACACACACACACACACACACACACCGATCCCTGGGGCCCAGGATGGGCCCGCCGAGGATCGGCGAGGCGGTCCATCGACGTCCCCCGCATTGGGGTTCTGAGGGCGAAGCGAGAACTGCCCCGTACTTCATGAACCAATGTTTCCACCAGCTCAACGTCCGTGTAGATGTCGGTGTTCAGGAAGTTATCGGCTATGATCGCCTGGGGAGCGAGCTTCAGCAGCTGGAACAGGTGAGGCGTCTTGAAGTAATCGTCAAACTGTTTGCGCAGTGGACCTGACAGAATCCACAGCAACAACCCCGCAGGCGATAATGGAATGCTACTGTCACCCTCTGGTCTAGCCATCCAGAAAGCACCCCGCTCATGTCGATGCAGATACGATTCTGTCTTAAGAACGTCTGTGTGATCGGCTTCGGAATTTCGTGTGTTGAATACGTGCTCGTAGAACCAAAGATCATGCGACTCCGTTATTGACATCGTACTTCTGTCTGCATGGGGATCGCCCGCTTCGTCAGCCCAATCTGCAACTATGACGACATGACGCTTCGTAACATCTGGCAAGCCCCGGTAACCCTTGTCCATCGGGTACGATAATCCCTCTGCGAAAATGCTCGTTGTGGCGACCGATGCGAGAAACCGGCATGCTTCGCTCAAATCGTCGAACCACCGATACTGCAGCTTTACATACGGTTTGGCCTCTTGGAGTCTCAACTCCACTTCCAACACCGTGGCCAGCGACCCATAACTCCCCGACAGCGCTCGGAACAGGTCCGGGTGCTCGGCGTCCGAACACGTGAGGACCTCTCCTGAGCCCAACCGCACCCTGCAGGACACGCAGCCCTCGGAGAACTCCCCGAACCTGCCGGACGAGGACTCCACGCCAGCACCCACGACCGCACCGCCCACCGTGATCCTGCGGAACTCGGGCACCACCAGCGGCAGCACGCCCTGCCGCAGGCACGCGGCGGAGAGGTCCTCCATGGTCACCCGCGCGCCCACGGTCGCCGTGCGCTTGCCCTCGTCGATGCGCACGTGCGCGTAGACCGACAGGTCGAGGAGGTCGCAGCCCTCGGCGTGGGAGGGCGCGCGGGTGCAGTTCCCGCCGCCCGCCTCCCGCCGGATCGCCAGCAGCCGTGGTGCATCGCCGCCGGGCCGCCCCTCGGCGCCGGAGGGAGAAGAAGAGGGAGCGGCACGAGCGTGCGCCCTCCGAGGTCCGCGCGGTTGCCCGGGTCGGCGCGCCCAGAGGCGGCGCCGGGGGAGCCCAGCGCGCAGCCGCAAGACAAGCTGGCGCGGAGCTCTGCGGCCGGGTGCGCCGAGGAGGCGGGGGCCAGGAAGAGGCCCTCGACCGTCCTCCTCGCCCCTCCTCCTCCTCCTCGCCCCTGCTCGCCCCTCCTCCTCCTCCTCCTCCTCCTCCTCCTCCTCCTCCTCCTCCTCCTCCTCGCCCCTCCTCCTCCTCCTCCCTCCTCCTCCTCGCCCCTCCTGCTCCTCCTCCTCCTCCTCGCCCCTCCTGCTCCTCCTCCTCCTCCTCCTCCTCCTCCTCGCCCCTCCTCCTCCTCCTGCCTCTCTGGGAGGGGGGGGGGGCGCAGCGTGGCCCGAGGCACCGCGTGCGCGGGCGAGCGGGGGGGGCCGGGGGCCGTGCCCTGAAAGGTAAGGCGGGGCCCCACGCGACGGGGGAGACCTCTCGCGGCCCCGGCCACGGTGCCTGGCCATCGCTCGGACGTCCAATTCCCTGTGCATTTTTTTTCGGTGTCGTGCGTTTTTTTTTTCGCCAAATGATCAAGGATGCTCCTCGATGGTCCTCGCCGAAAGAAAAATGCTCACGTTTGAGCGATGCCCCACTCCCTCACGCCTCGGGAGCCCCACTCCCCATCATTGTTGAGCAGGGACCGACCGTCCCGGCATTCCCGTATGCCTACCACGGCATGCTCTTAGAACCCAAGATGTTCCAGGAACAGCAACGCCTTTCTTAGAACAGGAGCCCGATGTGTTCAGACAAGACAGCCACAGCCAGAAATGTTCTAAGAACATTTCGTGGAAACCACAAAAGGTCCTTAGAACATTGTTTGGTAAGCCTACAGGTGCGCCTGGACGCTTCGCCGCTGCTTGACATTCGAGGCCTCCCAGATGGGGGCCGCATGGATAGGGTCGGAGGGCCGCGCCCCATCGCCGATACATCGGCGATGTCTCGGCGATGCATCGGCGATGCGCCGTCGATGCACCCGCGATGCATCGTCGACGTGGGCGATGCATCGGCGACGTGGACGTGAAGCAAATCGGGCCCCATATCGAGCCGCATCGGCGATGCATCGGCGGTGCGTCTCGATCCTCCGACTCCATCTACTCCGACCCCATCTAGGAGGCCCAGAATCATGGACACGCCCGATGTGTGCTCATAAGGCGAAGATGATGTCAGGACGCGTTTTGGTTCAGGGCACGTTCCGGGATCCCCAGAGCTTCTGGCGGCCATGGGCCACTCGCACTCAAGCCATTCGCCTCCGGCTGCGCTGCACTGCAGCCGACCCTGGAAGATATCACTGCGGATAAGAATGCGGGGGCGGGCGCGGGGCTGGTCGCGGGGGGGACGACGAAAACCAACAGACAAGCAACATCCAGGCCACGGACTCCCACTGCACCCACGCAGGTACCCAGGGATGTGCGCAAGACAGCTCGGCCCCCTCGCTCTGATCATAACCTCTTGCCCCCCTGATGAGTAGCGACAGGCAGACCCCCCAAATCCTTTGGGAGGCGACCTAAGTCAGGAGGCCAATGGAGTCTTTCTCTGCAAATGTGTCAACCGACGCCGCCCAGGATTATGATCCTTGATGCAGCGACGGGGACCTCGGTGAGGCCACGTCTTCACTATGTTATCAGGGTCAGGGTTTTCCTACAGGAAAACAAACTCTATACACCGACGGTTTTGTTCCAACCCTGCACCGAAACTTGCGCAAAACACCGGATCCTGGTGTATGCATTTTTCGTTGTCTCCGGGGGAAGCGGGAGAAAGAACGCAGCTCCCCCACCCCGACGTCGTCCCCGACCCTCGCAACCGCCCTGGGATTGAAGAGCAGCCAGCCGCTCGTGATGTGCATGCTCCGGTCCCCGATCTCATCTCATGCCGCTCCCCTCTTCTTCGCGGGGGCCGCGTCGCACCAGGCGAGGCAGCCGGCGCCGCCCCCCGCCGCCACGGCCACCGCGCACCCGCCGCGGGGAGGCAGGCGGGCGCCCCCGCGGCCGCGCGCCAAGCCGAGGAGGGCGCGCCAGGACGCCTGCGGCATCGGGCGACGCGGGCGAGGGGCGCCGAGCGGCCGGGGCCCGCCCGAGCACGGGTCGGCCAGGGCCTGTCGCGAGGCCCGGCCGGCCGCTCCGCAGCTTCCAGGCCCGGGTCAGCGGAGGGCGGCACGGCCGGCCAGCTTTGCCCACATCGGGAAGGGCTGGGTTCGCTGGGTCACTGGCCAAAGTACCCGTTAGTGGAGTCCCCGTTTGAGGGGCGCTGCTCAACCCGAGGCCTGGCCTGGCCAGTGAGGTGGTCGACGCGCGCGCGGGCGGCAACTGGGGGAGCTGTGGTCCTTCACCCCCCTGGGGGAACCCATCGCATCGACGTTCTCTCGAGAGGGGTGTCGAAATCGATGCGGCCCCCCAGGGGGGGTGAAAAACCACAGCTTCCCCAGTTGTGGCTGGCCAGCACGGGGGGTTCGAGCCCGCGTGGCTCCCAGACCTGGCTCGGGCCGGAGGGGATGGGCTGATCCCCGTCAGCGCCGAGCCTCGTGGCGTGAGCCCCCGAAGGGAGGTCGACGAGCTCACGCCGGCGCCCTCGGCGCCGGGCCCCCTCGGCGGAATCGTCCACAGGAGCGCGCTGGACCCCTCGCGTCAAGTCGGGCCTGTCCCCCTACAGGGGGATTTTCGACGAAAAATAAAAAAATACCCCAAACATAAAACATAGTCCAAAAATAGTCCAGGGACTATTTTTTGAATATTTTCTTACCTTTTTGGAATACTTTTTGGGTATCTTTAATCTGTTGTCGAAAATCCCCCTGTAGGGGGACAGGCCCGACTTAACCCTCGCGGCATCGCGCGCGGATTCTCGTCGGGGCGATTCTGCAGGGGCTGGCGCGGGGGGGCCGAGCCGAGACCGCCGAGGGGAAGAGCTGCGCGCCTCGAGCCCACAGCCGCGGAGCCCTCGTGCGGTGCTGCAGCTCCCGTCGAAAGTCTAGACGACCTGCCCGTGTCGCTCATGCCGCAGGAGAAAACAGACATGGGAATAGTGCAAAACGCATTGGCACCTCATGGGGCCTGATTTGTCAAGCTCGACTTCGGTCGCTCCACGACGTTCGAGAATTTGCCAACATAGCATTTTACCTCCGAGCGACGAACTCTGGCAACGGGCACGACGAGATCGGACCAGTGACGAAACGGTCCCGAGGCAAACGGCAATTGCCGCGCGCCTGAGCTGAGCCATTCGGTGTGCTGGTGCCACTTCTTTCCACCAAGGCAAACCAAGCCGCATCTCCACGCGGAGCCTTGCGCAGTTACGCTGTGTCCGCGAACGCAAACTCGGATGTCCCAGCGAGTGAAGCCACACAGGCGGCCTGCTCAAGGCTGGGGAGGGAGAGTGCTCGAGCTGGAGGCACCAGGTTGGGGCCCACGCGACAGCACCGAAAGGTGCGCCACCGTGCCGCAGGCACTGAGCGGAGTGAGCTCCAGCTGCAGCGTCAGTGGGCGAGCTTGCATGCGGGCCTCCGCCTCGCGACAGCTCGGCGGCCCCATCGCGCGGGTCGTGTCCCGCCAGGGGCTCCACCGGCGGCCGCAGCGGGCGCGCCTGGCACGCGGGCCTCCGCCCCCTCTCTCGCGCAGATCGTGGCCCGCAGAGGAGTTTCGTGCGCTTCTGTGTCGGGGGCGCGCAGACATGGATTAGCGATCCATGGATCTGGCGCGCGGTCGGCGAATCCATGGATCGGGGGAGATGCCCTCCCCCAAAGTGCGGCCGGTGCCGCCTCGCTCGGCGGCGGAAATCCGCGATTTCCAGTGGAAGCCGGACCCGTCGCTAATCCACACCCCCTTGATCCATGTTTGCGATCGCCTGGCTGTGTGCGCTTGCTCCGCAGCTCTGTATCCGCAGTGCTCCGTGGCGCAAGGTATGCGAGGAGAGGGCCGCGCACTGCGCTATAAACCCCTGCATACGGGCACAGGGTTGGGCCCTGCGCCAGGGCCAATCTGCGACGCGCGGACTTCCAGGGGTATTCGTACGTCTGTCTCCGATGTGATCTCTGTTGACGTGGGCCCCCCAGGACCCCAAAAAACACACACTGTGGGGAAAAACATACAAAAAACATACACAGATCCTGTGTGTTTTTTCCCCACAGTGTGTGTGTGTGTTTTTCCCTACAGTGTGTGTTTTTCCCTTGTGTGTGTGTGTGTGTGTGTGTGTGTGTTTGTTTGCTTGTGTGTGTGTGTGTGTGTGTGTGTGCCTGCGTGCGTGCGTGCGTGCGTGCGTGCGTGTGTGTGTGTGTGTGTGTGTGTGTGTGTGTGTGTGTGTGCGTGCGTGCGTGCGTGTGTGTGCGTGTGTGTGTGTGTGTGCGTAAGTCTGTGTCTGTGTCTGTGTGTGTGTGCGTGCGTGTGTGTGTGTGTGTGTGTGTGTGTGTGTGCTGTGGTGTGTGTGTGCGCGTGCGTGTGTGTGT